TTTTTTTTAAGATCTGATCTACTTTAGTGATAACTTAGTGACCTGACTGCTACGTCACAGATCCTGAATGATGTAATTGAATAATAAACGAACTGATATGTATGTACGCATTCTTTATAAATCAATTACATTATTTCTGAATAGTTTAAAGTCTAACACAGCTGTTTACAAACATGTCTCTGACAATCAGAATGTAGGCTAATCGCTTAATGGGTCGAGGTCATCGTGGACATGGGTCGAGTATTGTGATACTTTATACAACTCTATACACAGCATATATTTTAAGTAACCGACTTCTGATAAGTGTAAATATTCCTAAGTTCTATTTGAGATTGTTTAGTTTGCATATTTTGCTGCTTGGCGATTGTAGTGCCTATGAGTTTTATTTGTTCACCTAACGGTGCTCCCTGAAGTCTACCTAGGTATTTCTTACGAGATTTTTTCACACAAGTAGGAGTTACAAACGCGCATACTGTTCACTCGATTGTAAGCGGATGCAGCAGCCCATGTATCCTCAATGAAGAATCAAAATGTAAATGCGTTATCCCTTAGGGACAAAATGGTATGCCTCGATACTAGTTAAAAGGGTCATTGATTGCGTCGACCAATTCCTGCACAAAACACAGACAAACAAAAGCCGATCAAGTGTAAGACGTTTCAAGTAGGGGAGCCCCTTTAATTTTTAGTTTATTTTTTATTGTTATTGCGGTAACAGAAATACACCTTCTTGGAAAATTTCAACTGTCTACTTATTACGGATCATGAGACACAACCCGCTGACAGACAGACAGACGGACGGACGGATGGACAGCGGAGGCTTAGTAATAGTTCCCATTGGTTGCCCTTTGGGTACGAAATCCTAAAAAACTTTTTTTAATAGGATAGGGTGACGAACGAGCACACAGTCCACCCGGTAAGTGGTTGCTGTGACCCATAGACTACTACTGCTATCGTTGCCACGCATGGCAGGCGGGTTGGTAACCGTAGTTTTTTAAATTTTTCAATTGATATTAGGAACTCACTGCTGTCCACCTCCCTTGGTTTCCCTTCGTTGCCTCTTACGACACCCACAGGTCGATATGGGGTACTATGGGGTAGTACAGATTCTTACCACTCCACTACACGGCGACTACGAATAATAATTTACAAAAGGCTATTCACCATCTATCGGGCACAGGATTTTCCAGACCATAGTTCAGGATTCGTTGATGGAAGTGGGGCAAAACAAGATATAAAATGAATTAATTATCGAACGGCCGACACACCGCTATCACGACGGGGGAAGTGAAGCAACGACCCTTTAACAAGAATTCAATTAAATAGTTTCTATGGCTATGAAAATTACGTTTTTTATGACTTATAAAAATGCCTCTTTTACTGGAAACGAGGCATTTCATCTTAGCCCTCAGGAGTGACAACGCATCCCCATTTTGATTCTTAATCGAGGATAGACGTCTACGGCAGGGCTCGGAACCGGTTTAAAAAGAGCGGTTAATTTCGATTAATTACCGGTAAATTTATCGCTCCTTCAATTACCGGTTAAAAAATTAACCGGTTTTTATTAAACCTAAACGATAAAGGTTACCGGTTACTTAACGGTTTCGACACCCAAATTAACCGGTTAATTCCGTAAAACGTAAATGCAGTTATGAATAGGACAGGTAGATTCACGTTGCGAGGTGCTTATGCGGCATCGCCGCATGCGGGCACACATCAATTATCTGCCTTCAAGCGATACATTGTTTTAGTCGCGATCAGGGTGTGTAGTGGGAGTTTGGCGTTTACGAAAAACTGGAAAGTATTGGAGAAGTTTTGAAGAAAGAAAGGCAGTTATTGTGTTTGATTTATTCGTTAAGACTGGACGTGTCTCATAATGAAGAAAATAATTTATTCTTGTGTATCGGTTGTTTATTTATGATGGGCTGAAAAAAAGTAAATAGAATTCATTCCATGTTTACGTTTTAACAGTAGTAGTAGATAGAGCCACGCGGCAGCTTTTGCTATCGCATGGATGGGCCAGCTCGAACCAGGGTAGTACCACGACCTCACAGAATACCAGCGTGAAGTAGAAATTTACTTCTGCGTTTCGCTTGGTAGGTGTGGGTGGTCGGAGGCCCAATCCCCCCCCCCTTAAAGTATGGTAGCGGCATCAAATAAAAAACTACCCCAGGAGGGTACCAGAATCCTGGTGACGGAGAATCCTTCGCTGAGCACCCACGCCCAAGCTACCCTACTGTTCCTGAGCATGTGTGCTCAAGCTGCCCCGCGTATTCTGGTATACAGGGGAGTGGGGGGTAGGGGGGTATCCTCAGAGATCGTGATCCTTGGCGATTTTAACGACCATCACGCCGAATGGCTCGGTTCACATTTAACCGATCATGTGGGGAAATTTGTTTATGACTTTGCCTTGGCATATGGTTGCACAGTTGGTTACTACCTACGCGCCTACGTGGATTCCAGATGTGGAGGATCATGCGCCTTCCCTGTTGGAACTTCTGCTGACCTCTTATCCGGACGGATATCAGGTTTCCGTTGACACCCCTCACGGCTCCTAGGGCCATTGTCTTGTCCGAAGGGTGGTGTCACTCACACTATCTTCGCGGTTGCATTCTGCAGGCAGCCGCCGTGTTTGGCACTATATATCGGCCGATTGGGAAAGGATGCGGTCTTAATTTTGCATTCTACCCTTGAGGGCGAATTTGCTTTCCGCTGGACAATCCCAGCAATGTTGCTGATTCTGTCACTGATATGGTACTTGAGGATATGGAACTTTTTATTCCATCTTCTGTGGTTCCCATCGGGGGCTGACGACATCTTTACATTCCGAGACGTTGATGTATCGAGATGTAAACATCAGCGCTCTTCAAAAGAAGTATAATTCCGCCTCCAGGTTCTTCAAAATTAATTGCCAAGGCAAGGTCAGAGCACATCGGCGGAGTTGGTGAGAGGCTAGTTCGCCTTCCTTCGGTAACCCGTTCATTCTGGTCTCTTGCTAAGGCTGTCCAAGGGAACTTCTGTCAGCCCTCTCTGCAAAGAGAGAGCGACTCACTGATTCAATGCCGCAAAGGAGAAAGCCGATCTGTTAATCTCTCTTTTTGCGTGCAACTCGACTCTCGATGACGGAGGAATACACCGCCGACCATCCCGCGGTTTGAGTGCTCCAAGCCAGATGTGCGGCTTACACAGCACTCGGTTCCCTTCCATTGTGCTGAAGACGTGTGCTCCGAAGTAGACACCTGTTTTAACGCGTCTTTTCCGGTACTTCTACTCCTAAGGCGTTATCCCAAATTCATGGAAGACAGCTTTGGTTCACCCGATCCCTAAAAAAGGCGACCACTTAGACCCGTCAAACTACAGGCCTATCATCAACACCTCCTTGTTCTCAAAAATAATGGAATCCATTATAAACAGTTTTCGTCGGGGTTCATCAGTTGGTGATATTCTGGTCTATCTAACTCATAGATGGGCGGAGGCAGTAGAGTCTAAGGGGTAGGCACTGGCCGTTAGTTTGGACATTGCGAATGCCTTCGATCGAATTTGGCACAAAACGCTTCTTTCGAAGCTCCCTTCCTATAGGCTTCCCGAGAAATTGTGCAATTGGATCACCAGTTTCCTTGCTGATCGGAGCATGAAGGTCGTAGTAGACGGTGCATGCTCTGATTACAAGCCTATTAATGCTGGCGTTCCACAAGGCTGCGTGCTATCACCAACGCTGTTTCTACTGCATATCAATGATATTTTGCAAACTGGTAACAACGACAGCACTAGTGATGCAATATACACCGGCCGTGCCATATTTCTCGGGAAACGTCTTCGAGTACCAGAAAAAGTAAAGTAAAGTTGCAGCCTTTATACGTCCCACTGCTGGGCACAAGCCTCCTCTTATTTCTGAGAGGGTTTTAGGGCAAGTAAATGTCCGCCGCGCTACCCCAATGTTTGTTAGCGAACTTCACATGTCATCATCATCACCATTACAGCCCTTCACAAGTCCACTGCTGAACATAGGCCTCCCCCAAAGAATGCCACAAAGCACGGTCCTGAGCCACCTGCATCCATCGACTTCCTACATGTCTCACCAGGTCGTCACTCCATCTAGTGGGGGGTCGCCCTACACTTCGCCTACCGGTACGAGGCTGCCACTCGAGAACCTTTCTCCCCATCGTTTGTCGGTTCTTCGAGCTATACGGCCAGCTCACTGCCACTACAGCTTACTAATCCGTTGGGCTATGTCGGTTACTCTGGTTCTACTGCAGATATCCTCATTTCTAAGTTTATCAAGCAGAGGCACTCCGAGCATAGCCCTCTCCATAGCTCGCTGAGCGACCTTGAGCTTCCTCATACGGCCAGCAGTGAAGGACCACGTCTCAGATCCGTAAGTCATCACTGGCAACACGCACTGGTTGTACAATTTCGTTATTAGGTTTTGAGATATGTCTAACGAGAAGACGTGTCGTAGTTTCCCGAACGCTGCCCAGCCGAGTTGAATCCGTCAATTGACCTCTCGGTCGAAGTTGGACTTACCTAGTCGGACTATTTGTCCCAGGTAAACATACTCGTCAACAACTTCGAGCTTAGTGCTCCCAACAACTACCGGCATAGGTGTGACATGGACGTTAAACATGATTTTTGTTTTGTCCATGTTGATCTTAAGACCTATCCGTTGGGAAGCACTATTGAGGTCATTGAGCATAATGCTTAGGTCCTCCAGCGATTCTGCCATAAGGACTATATCGTCGGCAAATCGAAGTTGAGTGATGTACTCGCCATTGATGTTAATACCGCATCCTTTCCAGTCCAGTAGCTTGAAAACGTCTTCCAATGCAGAGGTGAAGAGTTTCGGGGATATAACGTCACCCTGTCTTACACCTCTCTGCAGTTGGATAGGTTTCGTACTCTGGTTCTGTACTCGGATAGCTACTGTACTAACACTTCAGCACTTCGATATACCAACAGTCAACTTGGCACCACTGAAGGGACTGCAGCACCGCCCAAATTTCAACGGAATCAAAGGCTTTCTCATAGTCCACATACACCAGACATAGTGGCAAATTGTACTTTTCGGACTTCTGTACAATTTGCCGAAGGGTATGTATGTGGTCTATGGTGCTAAAGCGCTTTTGGAGACCGGCTTGTTCGGGAGGCTGGAAGTCATCAAGTATGCGCGCGAGACGATTCGTAATGACTCTCGAAAACAGCACGTAGACGCGGCTTCTGAGCCGCGAAATCGGTCTGTGGTTCTTCAAGAGAGCGTTGTCACCTTTCTTAAACAACAAGACCACCGCACTTCCGCTCCAAGCCTCCGGTGTAATGCCACCATGGAGGACGGAATTAAAGAGCTTCTGAAGGACTTCAAGTACCGGTTTTCCACCCGCTTTCAGAAGCTCCGCTGTAATTCCATCCTCGCCTGGGGCCTTGCTGTTTTTAAGGAGCTGGAGAACCATTCTAATCTCGCTCAGACTCAGACGTCCGGGATATCTTCGGAATAGTGTCGGATAAGACTCGCTCTTGGATCGTTACTCACACTTGCGTGTGGCTCCAACGATGACGTGTACAAGCTGCCCATTGAACCTCTCAATCTCACTCAAAATCTGAGGTGCCCCGGAAACGATGCTGCCACACTCGGTCTTCAGCTTTGACAGTTGGCTCTTTCTGGCAGACAGATCTCTGGCAAATACTTTGGAGCCTTGGTTCCGCTCGATCGCTTCTTCAATACAAGCTGTATTGAAGTTGCGTAAGTCCCGCCGCATGCATTTGAAGATCTGTCTGTTCAGTTGCCTGTATGCTGTCAAATCTGTTGAAGAGTGTAGCTTCATCTCCCGTCTAACAGCCATGAGATTAAGAGTGTGATCGGAGAGTTTTTGTGTTCTTCTGCGGCGGGCGCTTGAAGAACTTAGCTCCAACCGCATGGACAGATTCCACGAGCTTGTCATTCATATCGTCCAATTCATTGCAGTCTTCTAGGCACTGAAAACGGTTTTGTAACTCGAGCTGAAAGGTTTCGGGACTTTGGAACAGAGCACGAGGGGGACGGAGCGTTGACTTCATTAGACGAGACCTCTCCAACTTAACGTTTAGGTTCAGTGTGCTTCTAATCATTCGGTGATCGCTACCAGTTTTCACCCTCGCGATCACGGAGACATCACTAAACAGTTGTCGTCTGGTCGTCATAATGAAGTCAATCTCATTTTTTGTCGAACCGTCGGGGCTCGACCAGATCCACTTCCTGTGAGGCCGCTTCTGTAAGAAAGAGTTCATCATAAAGAGTCCCTCTTTCTCCATGAAATCGGCCAGCTGCTGGCCCCTTGGGTTCCGTTGCCCTATTCCAAATTTCCCTACTTTCAGCTCACCGTTCTCTCTTTTGCCTAGTTTTGCATTGAAGTCTCCCATTAACACTGTATATTGGGTTTTGGAGGAATGCATGGCTCTAGAGATATCCTCATACATTTCCTCCACCTCCTGATCGGGGTGTGCCGAGGTTGGTGCGTAAACCTGTATGACCTTCAGCGAATAACGTTTGGTGATTCTGAGTATAAGTTACGCAACTCTCGTCGACACACCCTCAATCTTTACAACGTTGTTAACGAGAGACTTGTGGACGATAAATCCGACACCTCCTTGGGACAGATGGTCCTCCCGGTGATAGAACAAGTGAGTGCTCTGAGGAATTGTTCGGTTTAATTCCAGCCGCCAAATTTCACGAACGCACATCGCGTCAAAATTCACGATACCATCCTCACCATCTGTATGTTTGACGGGCCACCACTGTGCGTTTTACTAGGAGTTTTCTTCCTAGTACAACTTCTCTGTGGAATTGTTAACCACCGGCGATTTTTCCGGACCGATACGACTTAGGGACCTTCAAGAAAAGAGCTCACTCCTTTCTTAAAGGCTGGCAACGCACCTGCAATTCCCCTGGTGTTGCGGTTATTTATGGGTGGCAGTAGTCACTTACCATCACATGACCCGCATGCTCGTTTGCCCCCTTTTCTATAAGCAAACGTACGACGAGAAAACCCAAAAATCTAAGTGCTTGATTGAGGGCTGAATACGACTATCAGGGTGGTTTCTAGAGCACTCATTATACCCAAATTAATCCAATAACGGTACTTGGCACGACCTGGGACACGATTTAAACCCAGGACCAAATCATGATTCACAGTCACGCTAGTAACCACATACAAACAGACAAAATTATATAATTTCATGATATGTATTTAGTAAAAATCTGTTATTTTGACGTTACGAACAGACACTTCAATTTTATTTATTTTAATAGTTTCGTATGCGTAAAGTATGAAAGTTTGTAAAAAATTCGAAAGTGATTACTATATTATTTTGATCTTGAGGCGTTAGAAAACTTGGCTGCACTTTTAATAATTCGCTTTTATAATTCAATACATGTTCGTAGATATATCTGTGATGATTTAGTTAATTGAGAGTTATTAATAATTACTTTAAATAAAAGACAGGATTTTTTAGTGTATGTATTTGGTTACAGTCGACAGCAAAGTATAGCCGAATTTAATCATAATGATTTGTTAGATTCAAATTATTTTTCTTTATTAATTTCAGTATCAGTTAATTTAATTTCATCTATGTGGTTACCTTGCACTCTATTTAGAAAAACTAATATTTTTAGTAGCATCTTGCACGTTCACAACATGATAAGATTTGCTCCAATTTCGCTTTAATGAGATGTGAAAAATGGTAATTTCTTTTGTTAGAATTCTCTGAACATAACAAACAATTTTTTGTCGTGTTTAGACATGACTTCTAGTTAAACTTTACACCTCAGAAGTGGTCATTATTAATTTTGCAAAGACTGAGATAGAGGTTGGTCGTAATTACGAGCTTCAGAATTAAAAAAAAATCTGTTAATCTGCCTCACTTTAGTCCTAAAAAGAACAAAAATACTATAACATATAATTTCATAAACTTTTAAAAATATTGTGTTCTGTTAAGAAAGTTCATCATTTATTGCGATATATTACTAAAACTAATGACATTGAAATAAAGATGCTAGCGTAATTTTAATAGAATACGTTAAATATAATTAAAGTCAATTTAAATATATAACGTCAAATTAAACTTGATATCAAAACTTAATTTTAAAGTGAAGATAACGCATAATTAATTGAAACAGAACTTACATCTGTTATTTATAATACGATCGTTGCGGAAAGATGAAAAAATATGAGGGAGTTACGTCACAAGGCAGTCGCGTTGATGCAATGAATATATCGTGCATGTGTCCTCGGGAATTAAACAGTGGCAGCCGTACAATGATGGGTGCAAGCGGGGTAAGGGAGAGGGGGATATTACAAAACTTGGTTTTAACCGGTTAATTCTTACTACCTAAACCGAAATCTGTGAAAAACCGGTATTCCGCAAAAACCGGTTTTGGGGTCAATGACCTAAACCGGTTTAGAATTTCAACCGGTTTCCGAGCCCTGGTCTACGGGCCACAGCATCTATTTACCATCATGTGGATTGTGCTCGTTTATCACCCCTATTCTATAAAAATAACGTCATGAAATGTTTAATTACTTTAAAAAACATGACTGTTATGTGATAAAACGTAGATTTTGAAGCTCTTGAAACTTATCGTCGTACATTAACGTCGCCTTTAATGTATTTTACGATTAATTGTATTAATAATGAAAATTAATACCCAACATGATACGCATCAAATATAATATATTATCTAATATGTTTTTTATATTTATATTGAATTTTATGTAATACGCCTATTATTCATTACCTCTATACATCTAATAATAATTATTATAGGTAAAGTAAAATGTTATTATAAATCTATTATTATTTACTTATTGCCTACTTCATTGGTCTGGTGGCCGTAAACGCGGCTGTTGATGATGAGGTCCCGGGTTCGAGTCTCGAGTCGGGTCAGAAATCAGTTCGTAGTGCTTACAGTCTAAACGGACTATAAGAGTGAAGGGATAGAATACTCTGGCACTGTAATCTTGTTCTACGCAAATTGTTAATCTCCGGTGAGACTGGCCGCCGTGACCGAAATTCGGTCTGGAGGACGTTGTTATAACAGTATCATACTACGCCAACGTCAAATGGAAGAGGATGCTTAAAGCTTTAATAAACCATATTCATGCAAACATTAAAAAAATGGATATGTTATATTAAAGACCACGATACACGATATAAGAAAGTTTCTACTGTGAAAATAATGTTTTTTTTAAAGTAATATGTAAGAGAAGAAGCACTGTCTGTCTCCTTTGGTATCATATTGATCAATCCGCTAGATTTCCTGGCAACTATCGTTACATATGAACAGTCACCATCACGTAGTTACAGAGTTATAATTTATGAAGTTTGTTATTAAAATAATAGGTATTTTCACACCTTAACACTTTCACTGTCCGGTTTCCAGACACAATAGTAAGACAATAGCAGTGCCCTATATATAGTGCACGGGACAGCGAAAGGGTTAATATATTGCTTTTATGATTTTCTTGCGCTGTGAAATGAGTTCATAATTTTTAATTTTTATGTACATATGAGGTGAGTTAAATACAAATATAACTCTTCGATACAGTAGGGAGAGAGAATAATAAGAGAGACAAATGAACACACAATATACCTGGCAGTAAGTGAATGCTGTTGCTCACAAACGCCTACATTTATGACTAAGAAACAAAATGTAGCTGAGAATTCTCTTTGACCCACTACAATGAACACATTAGTATAACGTGGATTTCCTCTGGTATTCTCTGATAATGTGGCTCAATTCTAGAATTTGTAAGAGAAAGTGTGGTCGGTGCCATGCTCGTAAAACATTTTGTTTGTAAGTAACGAAATCGAAGACACTTTTTAAATGGTAACGAGATATACCATAATACAGTGAAATTTGGTTAAGTGGGACCTGGATAAGTGAGAAACCTCCATAGCTGGAACTCATGCTTAGGTAGCACTGAATTACCTCTGTTAGTGGGACAAAACAAACCTCTATATCTTTTTTTTATTGAATTTGGGTGACAAACGAGCACACAGTCCACCTGATGGTAAGTGGTTGCTGTGGCCCATAGACATCTGCGTCTATCGTCGTTTGCGAATTAAAATGTAGATGCGTTGTCAGCCTTGAGGACAAAGATGGAATGCCTCTTTTCCAGTAAAATGGGTCTCCGGTTCTCTACACTCACTATACGAAACAGCAGCATTAAGCTGTTATTTTACGCAGGTATTCTGTGAGAGCGTGGTCCTTCCCCGGTCGAGCTGACCCATTCATGCTACAACTATTAATATAGGTGCAGCATGGCTCTACCACGTAAAATTTATGTAATTTATTTATTTTATTATTTATTATTTTTATTATTGTTTATTTTATTTAATAATTGCATCTCTATAACTGAAATAACCTGTATTCTCACTTCTATTAATGGAAACCTCTGTAAATGAGACATATATTTATTTATATCTGGGT